CAACAATTGATCTCAGGGTAAATATAAATTACAAAAGGTTGACTTGGGTCGCTATGCTTATATTGAAAAAGAGAAAGTTGAAGGGCCTTGACATGGCCATACTTGTCTACTAGACGATCTAACAGCGTTATATTTATAAGATTGACCTGTTGTCCAGTTGTGGTGGTCATTTCTCCTATTCGCAAAAGGGCAAAAAATGCTAAAGGGCACATGCCTGATATTAAGCATTTCTGATAAGCTGACGTGGCTGTATGTGTGAACGATTGTATTAGCTGGCGTAAGATTGGCAGAGTGATTGGTAAGCGAACATCTCTGACTGGAGCTAATTTCCTATAACCCTTAAGAATTTGAACAATTATTGTCGCTGCGGTTGGGTCTTCTACCCCGACTAACTTGTGTACGTAACCAATAGCGGAAACGTAAGTGGTCACTGATGAGGAAGCATAGTGAAGAGAAAACAAATGTGATATAAAGAGAGCTAACACAGCTGGTTGCACTGGCAGTGAAATAACCGAGGTACCTCGATATTGAGCAGCCCAAGTAGTGAACAAAGTCCAAGGCCGTCTGTAAACTCTAGCCGAGGCGCTATTTAAACTGGCAGCTAGAAGTTTCTTAGTTATATCCCCCAGTTCTCTGGTAACAGATGGGGAGGTACGATTGTCGGTTCACGGTCCGCATCCTGGTCGAGGGACTTGAATTTGTCCGCCTGCAACCGCGATTAGGCGTCAGCTTTCGTATTTAAAATCCCGGGCAGGTGGATTGCTCAGAATAGAATATTATGCCTCAAGCAGGACAAAACCAGGGCGCGGACAAGTACCAAGAGCTCCCTGTCCTTTGTTGTTTTCTTCCTTATAACCTCCGCTAGCGCCTGATTGTCAGTATGAAGCATGACAAAACGGCACCATAACCTAAAGATCCGGAGGAATCCGTGTACAAATGTAACGTTACTGAGGAAACCCAAATGAAATCTAAAAAGAATGATTTCCCATTAAAGTGGTTAAGAAACTGTAACCACATGTTAAGATCTCCTTTCACGTCACGTTTTAAACGAATTTAGTGGGTTGGGCGACGTACACCCACTGTGACGTTAATCATACGTCTAAGAAAAGTCCGACCTGGTAGAACTACTGAGCAGGTGAAGTTCAATAAACCAATAAGAGATTGCATTTCTCGAAGAGAAACCTTTATACGCTTTAAAAAGTCTTCCAACATGTTCCTACATTTCTCTAACTTGTCGTGTGGAAGACGAACTTCCATTCGACATGTATCAAGCTCAATACCCGCGAAAGATAAAACAGTATGCGGACCTAAGGTTTTTTCAGGTGCTATTGGAACTCCTAGCTCATCACAAGTCTTAACAAATTTAGAGAGGCTATTGGAGCAAGTCCAATGGTCGGGCTCAATAATAAGGAAATTATTTAAGATATGCAAAATGCCCGAAATTCCTAATTTATGTCGGGCAATCCACTCTAAAGCTGAACTGAATGTTTCAAAAATCTTACAGGAGCTTACACACCCCATAGGGAGGCATCGATCATAATAGAATTGATTCTTCCAAAGCATTCCTAGCAGATCATAATCGGTTTGTGAAACCGGGATTAAGCGAAAAGCGTTTTTTATGTCTGTTTTGGCTAGTGCGCAGCCCCTGCCTGTGCGCCGTATTAATCTGACAGCATCGTCTATTGATGCGTATTGAACGCTAGACGCGATTTTAGGAATGTGAGAGTTAACAGATTTACCAAATGGAAAAGACAGGTGATGAATTAAGCGATATTCTCCAGGCGTTTTCTTANAGAATCCGTGTACAAATGTAACGTTACTGAGGAAACCCAAATGAAATCTAAAAAGAATGATTTGCCATTAAAGTGGTTAAGAAACTGTAACTACATGCTTAGATCTCCTTTCACGTCACGTTTTAAATGACTTTAGTGGGTTGGGCGACGTACACCCACTGTGACGTTAATCATACGTCTAAGAAAAGTCCAACCTGGTAGAACTACTGAGCAGGTGAAGTTCAATAAACCAATAAGAGATTGCATTTCTCGAAGAGAAACCTTTCTACGCTTTAAAAAGTCTTGCAACATGTTCCTACATTTCTCTAACTTGTCGTGTGGAAGACGAGCTTCCATTTGATATGTATCAAGCTCAATACCCGCGAAAGATAAAACAGTATGCAGACCTACGGTTTTTTCAGGTGCCATTGGAACTCCTAGCTCATCACAAGTCTTGAGAAATTTAGAGAGGGTATTGGAACAAGTCGAATGGTCAGGCTCAATAATAAGGAAATCATCTAAGATATGCAAAATGCCCAGAATTCCTAATTTATGTCAGGCAATCCACTCTAAAGCTGAACTGAATGTTTCTAAAATCTTACAGGAGCTTGCACACCCCATAGGGAGGCATCGATCATAATAGAATTGATTCTCCCAAAACATTCCTAGCAGATCGTAATCAGTTGGTGAAACCGGGATTAAGCGAAAAGTGTTTTTTATGTCTGTTTTGGCTAGCTCGCAGCCCCTTCCTGTTCGCCGTATTAATCTGACAGCATCGTGTATTGATGCGTAATGAACGCTAGACACGATTTTAGGAATGTGAAAGTTAACAGATTTACTAAATGGAAAAGACAGGTGATGAATTAAGTGATATTCTCCAGGCGTTTTCTTAGGAATCAGACCTAAAGGCGAGATTCGCAAAGACGGAAGAGGCCGTGTGTTAAATGGCCCTACTATACGACCTAAATTTATTTCCTTATTGAGCTTTTCATTTACAGCGTTGGGATTTTGAAGTGCTGACAACAGATTAATGGAAGTGGCAGTTGCTCTACGTCCAACATAATCAAGTGAAAAACCATTTAGAAATCCATTAATAAGATATTGTTTCGAAGTTAAAGGATAATTAGCTAAGTAAACACTTAATTTATTTACCAGTATTGGTGTTGGTAGAGGTTTTGGTTGGGACTGTGCGTGAGGTAGCAGCTGGGGGCTTTGAAGAACGACATTTAGATGCTGGGTGTGCGGCACCGCATTTAAACCATTTGTGTTTGAAATTACACCCAAAACACTTGTCCCCTTGGTGAAATTTCCAGCAGAAGCCTCTCAAAAAAGGGCTGTTTAAAAGGCCTAGCACTAGAGCTACCTGACATGGCAGTCTGTGATGAATTCCGGTTCATGTGGTGTGCCTGCAGCCACAATTCCCAGTGGGTATCGTCCCATGGAAAAATGAACTTCTGCCTCAAATACCGGAAATTTTCATCATAGTATTTCCAGTGGGCATTTTTAGCTGCTAAATCATGCACCGTTGCACTATATTTCACTAAAGCCGGGGCGCTCTCAGGAAAGCGAACTGTATATATTGCAACAAATATTTGAAAGGCAGAGGTCCAGTGATCTATTGTGGTGATACGCTTAGTATTCTGGACAGGCTCGAGAGTAACAACTGGCTGGTTTGACGGGGCTGGTGTTTTGACAGTAAAATTGTATTTTGGGTCACCCGGGATAGAATAACATAGACTACCAAGCTCGACATACTCATTGGCCCAAATTTTGGCTTGAATTTTTTCAGGCACCCGACTCACTAAGGGAACGCAAATCAATTTATGCACCTGTTGTGGCCGGTTGTTACTATCGCGGGTGTCAAGGTGATTAGGATTCAAAATATCATGGCCCTCACCAGTTAAATTGTCTACTACATCAGCAACTGACTCCTGTACAGCTGCAACAGTCTGGGAT